GTCACAATTTTTAAAGTCAGTTTTGATAAATTACAGTGGATTATGATGAGGAGAAAGAGTGCATCTTGACAGTATTTTTGCCAATTTCTTCAAATATAAAGTGTATATCTATCACAATTTATCAGCTCAATTATTATTTTGTATGAAATTCCTTTTTCATAGAAATTGTACCATGCATTTTGTTGGTTTATACATCAACATATATATTTTTTGTGATCTTTGTGCATGCACACTCTCCACCTTTTCCCTTATCCATCTCTCCTCCTCTCTCTCTACAGTCCTTACAATAGCAGTTGCTAATGAACATCCAGTTATTACACTACCAACTGATCATATTAAGATATTATCCAGTACATGGCCTGATTCATCACCAGGTGTTACTTATCATTATCATTGGAGGAGATTGTTTGGTCCTAAGAAGGGAAACCTCAATGGAGTCAATGATAAAACCATCTCATTGAGTCACGTATGTTATAGGGAAGGAGGGAATAAGAGATTAGAAACACATGTAACGTACATGTTACATCTAACATATGTGACTATGTGTATGTATGCCTCTTTTGCTTAATTTCAATCATAATGCTTTCACAAAAATAATTATTAAATTTTGAAACAACGAAACAATGATGAAAGGTAAAATAGAAATAACTTGGGGTCTAATACCTTAGGTTGTATAATTACATGTACAATTACAATTGTACATGTACCAACAAAATGTTATAGTACCATGTAAGCATGCCCCTGTCACCTATTTTCAGTACTTCACATGCTACATGTACATGTTGACCTGTCATGTTCACTTTGAATTTGACATTGACAAATGACATTGTGCATAAATGACCTGAGGCTACATGAGTCCCAGGTTGTAGTAACTTTATGTAAATGTATATTATTAAGTATCGTGAGTATCATAAGTGATAAGTACATCAAAGATATCCTTAAATTTGGGCCTCTCCTCATCATTATGTTTCCAGCAGTTTATCATAAGTTGTTTAAATGGTTCAGGACAATCTCGGGGTATGAGCATAAGATAACCTTCTGATACTAATTCCCCTACTTCTTTATCAGTCATGCCAGGATATGGTAGATCTTCTTTAGTAACGATTTCCCATAGTAATATACCAAATGACCAAACATCAGATTTAATACTTAGTCATTCTGCAGTATATCCTTCAGGTGCTGTCCATCTGTAAGCTAGTACATTACATTTCTTAATGCTGTAGTATTCATTGCCATTGAGGTGTTGGGCAAGATGAAAGTTTGCTATCTTGACAGTGTTATGATCTCCTAATAGTATATTTTCTGCTCTTAGATCACAATGAATGTAATCTTGTTCTCCTAGATACATCATACCATCAGTAACTTGTATAGCAATATCTACCAACTCTGCTGGTGTAGGATTATTTGTAATTAGGAATTCTTTGAGATTTTCATTCATTGGCTCTGTTACAATATAAAAAGGATAGTCTTCAGTACAAGCACCATATAGACTGATGATGTTCTTATGATTAATTTTTAGCAACATATTTACCTCCTTAATGAATGTTTCTTGTGTAATATTTGTTGCTATATTTGTCTTAATTATAACTGTCCCTTTACCTTTCCAATTACCTTTCCCTGTCTCTCCAAACTGTCTTACACTTATGCATTGTTCAAATTTGATTGATGACTTATTAATTTCCAACTCTTTATCCATTGCAATGGGTATGTTTACTTGTTTAGGTATAGGAACCGTTAGTGAGCAGGCCAGACCATCAGCTTTCATCATGTAGTGATGTACCAGGTCATTGAGTGAGTCAAACTGGACACGAGGGAATATATGATGCTTATAAAACTCACTGTATATGCAATAGTGCCTGATAGTAGCTCCACCATTAAGTGAGAGGGAATAATGGTGTCCAGGTTTGCTTCTTTCACTATCTCTAATTAGGAAAGTACCTGCTTGAGTGCCTGCTTGACTCAGTCTCTCCTCTGCTTCATCACAACTCACTTTATGATAGTAGATGTATTTGTAGTACCTATTGTTAATTAATAAAAAATCCTTTAACTTTAGAATTTTTTTACATTGGCGAGTATTTTTGTTCAATTGGTATTATATAATTAATTGGTATGTTGCCTTTATTGCCTGTATGAAGTGAATGCATATACCACCAATCATTATCTTCATGATATTTAACTACTTTAAGTACTTCTCCTGTAAAAGTACATTATTGGGTAATAATCATTTCTTTATTGTTGCCAAACCTTTTTTGAAAGTTAAGTTATCCAAGGTTTGTGCTTCAAAATTATAATTAGCTACAAATACTGTATAAAAAGTTTTATTAAACAAGCATGCACCATACATGTTTATTTACATTTATCCTTTGTGATCAATTCCCTCAATGATTGTAATAGAGTAGGATCTTTAGTAATTTTTAGCATAAAATATTCTGCTTTTTCATCATCATCAAGGAGAGCAGGTAGGAGGGATAATCCTTCCTTTGTCACTGCAAACTGAAACAAGTAAAGTAATTCTACTCTTGAGTATCCAATGTATATCATTGGAACAGCACTCTTCTGTCCACTCTCCAGTGATTGTACCTCATGTCCATTTGTACTTAACTGAAGTAGTTCACCCTTTTTGAATGAAATAGTTGTTTCATTATAATCATCTTGAGCTTCACAGATAGATCCATTGGATGATAGCACTGTCTGTGTGGATTTCACTTCTTTATCTATTGATGTCTGATTAGAATATTAATAAAGATATATACTTACTGCAAGGTTTCATTTCAAGCAGTTGCACACTAATAGATGATATACTTTCCTGCAGTTCCTTAATTTCTTTTTCATTGTCTTGTAGTACTTCCTTTCGACCTGTTTTAAAGTACATGTATTATGTCATTAGAAGCTAATGAAGCATGTATATACTTATTCTGATCCTTAGAGTAGATTGTAAATGTTCATTTTCTTTTAGTAACATTCGCTTTTTTGTGCTTGCAGCCTTTTCTCTTTTCATTTGTTTGATTTTAGATTTAAAACCTTTATAATTATAATTACAATAATGCAAAATTTTTGCTATACCTGATGCTTGCATGCTACTATTGATAAATCCTAAAATTATTATAACTAATGATTATAATGTAATGTAATGTCCTTACCTTGTTTCTGTTTTAAAGGTATAAGTTGTGCTACTTGATCATCAAGGAGACCTGTACATACATTGATTTAATTTTATAAGCAAAATAATGTATCTCATACTTTCTTTGTCATTGAGGCATGGATTTATCTTTATTAATTCTCCTTCATGCATTTCAATTTCCTCTGCAACAATCTTTAGCTCCTATTATATTCATATAGATAGATTCATAACTGGTATATATACTTTGTTCCTGATGGTCCTATCATATACCTTGCAGTGTCCTATTTTCAATTGCATCAAAGCAAATTCTTCTTGCAGCACAGTAAGATTATCACGAGCCCTCAATTGCAAAGCATTCATTAGATGAGTAGGAGCACCACAAATGATAATGATGGAGTTCCCTTTATGCATGCTTTTGACTATGATCCTTCTGCTCAATCCTTTGAATACTTTCTCCATTAAACGACGAATATCATTCAATAAGTGCTCAGCAGGATCCCAGTCTAGAACAAACTCAATTGTTTCACAAATGAGAAAATCACTCATTGAAAGCTTTTTATCGAGCAAGAATTGAAGCTTAAGTTTGTGACAAAGCTCATCAAGTGTTGTACTATAATCAGATATCAATGGATTAGCTTCTGTTATGCTATAAAAGCTGACCACTTCCTTTACTGGTGCAATATTGATGACATTGCATTTGGTTTTAACAACTTTCATGACATCTTTCACTGAAGCAGCAGAGGTTAGGTTAGGACCTAGCTCAGGATAGCAATCATCAAGAAATTCTATGAAATCTTCAAGTTGGTTCACTCTGATGGTGTGAGATACCAGTCGA